TTCTGTGTTTGTTTTCTGCGTGCTCCTTTTATTAGCTCCTTATCTTTTAAGCTCCCAGATGCAGCCTCATTTCTTCTCAACATCTTACACATCTCAACAAGGCAAAACAAAAAGTGCCAGCCTTTGGGACAGAACCTCTCAGTGTTTCTAATTCCACACTTGGTTTCTCTTCCCTGCATGTTTTTCTTGGCAATGCCTACTTTTCACCTGTTTTGCTACCTTCCACGTTAGGGCTCCTCTCGGGTATCGGCTGGTGGTGATGAAGTGTGAGGGAGTAACAGGCTTCCTAGGAGCTCTGAGGGCCAGGGCGGGTGACTTGTGTGGGCTGCGTGATGGGAAGCCTTGCTGTCCGCATTAGTTCTTTTGTCCTGGTTGGTCAGATGCATTATCCATGCCTGACACAGGCAAGAGACTTCCAGCCAGTTCCCATGACAGTGACCCTCACGTGGACCTCCCCACCCCCACCCCCACCCCGGCTTCTTTTTTTTTTTTTCAGGCGCCTTTTAAGGATTCCAGGGTGTGAGCAGTGTGGCTTCCCACGCTTTCCTGGCAGGAGACCTACTTTCCCGAGTCCACCAACAGTCGCCATTCAGGCATTCGTTTCCAGCTCCCAGTTTTGCTCCTTCAGAAATTTCTTAATATATAATTTTCATTTGGATTTGGGAGTTAAATTGTGTGTGTGTGTGTATATAGGGTTTTTTCCCCCTACTATCTTCTCATCTTGAAAATATTCAGAGGCTGGGGGCCGGCACCATGGCTCACTTGGTTAATCCTCCACCTGTGGCACCGACGCCCATATGGGATGCCGGTTCTTTCCCAGTTGCTACTCTTCCAGTCCAGCTGTGGCCCGGGAGTGCAGTGGAGGATGGCCCAAGTGCTTGGGCCCCTGCACCTGCATGGGAGACCGGGAAGAAGCACCTGGCTCCTGGCTTTGGATTGGCGCAGTGTGCCGGCCCTAGCGGCCATCTGGGGGGGTGAACCAATGGAAGGAAGACCTTTCTCTGTCTTTCTCTCTCTCACTGTCTAATTCTGCCTGTCAAATGAAAAAAAATATTCAGGGGCTGGCGCTGTGGTGTAGCGGGTAAAGCCGCCGCCTGCAGTGCCGGCATCCCATATGGGCATGTGTTCAAGTCCCAGCTGTTCCTCTTCTGATCTAGCTCCCAGCTGTGGCCTGGGAAAGCAGTAGAAGATGGGCCAAGTACCTGGGCCCCTGCACCCATGAAGGAGACCTGGAAAAAGCTCCTGGCTCCTGGCTTCCAATCTGCCCAACTCTGGCCTTTGCGAGCATCTGGGGAGTGAACCAGTGGATAGAAGACCTGTCTCTGTCTCTCTCTCTCTCTCCCTCCCTCTCTCTCTGTAACTCTACCTCTCAAATAAATAAATAAATCTTTAAAAAAAAGAAAGAAAATGTTCACACTTAGTAGAAGCTTGGGAGAAAAAAATCTACAATGAATACCTTTAGATTTTGTATCTTTTAAACTTTATTATTTTACATCTTTTACCTTTGTGGTTTTTTTTCTTTTTTTAAAGATATATTTTATTTATTTGAAAGACAGTTACAGAGAGAGGTAGAGAGAGAGAGAGAGGTCTTTCATCTGCTGGTTCACTCCCCAGATGGCCACAATGGCCGGAGCTGTGCCAATCCAAAGCCAGGAACCAGGTGCTTCTTCTGAGTCTCCCACGCAGGTGCAGGGGCCCAAGGACTTAGACCATCTTCCACTGCTTTCTCAGGCCATAGCAGAGAGCTGGATCAGAGTGGAGCAGCTGGGATTAGAACCAGCACCCATATGGGATGCCAGCGCTTCAGGCCAGGGTGTTAACCCGCTGCGCCACAGTGCCGGCCCCATCTCTATGCTTCTAAGAAATTTCCTTAGATAAGTTTCCCAGTTCAGTAACTCTGGCTGTGTCCTTTGTGCTTTTTAATGTACCCGTTGAGTTTTAAATTTCAGCAGTGGTGTTTTTATGTCTCGGATTTCTATTTGATTGCAATTTAAAGCTCTGTGTTCTGAGGGCCATTTGGTGCAGTGGTTAAGACACTGCTTGGGCCTCCCGCATCCCATACCGGGGTTCCTGGGTTTCAGCCTTGTTTCCACTCCCCATCCCAGCTTCCTGCTGATGCACATCCTGGGAGGCAGCAGGTGCTGCTCGGGTACCAGGTGAGAGAGCCAGGTTAGGTTCCAGGCTCCTGCTTTCATGCTGGCCCAGCACCAGCTGCTGCAGGCATTTGAGGAGTGAATCAGTGTTAGAGACCCATCCCATTGTAGTCAACTGGGGACTGAACCAGCAGATGGAGATCTCTGTCTCCCCTTCTCTCTCTCTCTCCCCACCCCCCCCCCCGACCTCTCCATTTCAAGTGAAACAAGAAAACTTCTGTATTCTTTTTTACAATGCAATTTTTCAAAATATGTCTCAGGATTTTGGTTTCTTCTTTCAAATCTTTAATCATTTTAACACTTTTTATAAATGCTACCTAATATTCTGTTACTGGAAGCTAGAAGTCTACTACTGTTGTTTGCGCGCATGTACATGTGTGTTTGCTGGCTCTCGTGATTAGCAGATTATCTCTGCTCTTGTGCTGGGCCGCTGGACTGTGAACTTAAGTTCAGCCACCTAGTCTGTAGAAACCGAGGCAAGGTTGTCCCTCCAAAAAATTTTTGTATTTGCTTCTGACAGATACTCCGTTAGCATCCCTCATTCAAATTCATTTTTATTTTCATTTCTTCATGTTTTTTATTGAGGGTATAGCCCTTTAAATGTTATAGTCTGTTTTTAAAAAAGGTTTGTTTATTTGTTTATTTTGAAAGTCAGAGTTATATAGAAAGCGGGAGAGACAGAGAGAAAGAGGTCTTCCATCCGCTGGGTCACTCCCCAGATGGCTACAATAACCAGCCTTGGGCCAGGCTAAAGTCAGGAACCAGGATCTTCATCCACGTCTCCCATGTGGGTAGCAGGGGCCCAAGGACTTGGCCATTGTCTGCTGCTTTTCCCAGGCCATCAGCAGGGAGCTGGACTGGAAGAAGAGCATCCAGGGCAGGAATTGGTGCCCACATGGGATGCCAGCATTGCAGGCAGTGACTTTACCCGCTACGCCGTGAAGCCGGCCCCTAAAGGTTATAGTCTTTCTGCAGGAATATCAGTTCTGATCCCCTGCCTTACCTGGGGCCAAGATCATACATGTCTGTTCCAGTGTTAGCTGTTAAAATTCAACTCACAGGCCAGCATTGTGGTGCAGCACGTTCAGCCACCATTTGTGATGCCGGCATCCCTTATCAGAGTGTCAGTTTGGGTCATGGCTGCTCTGTTCCAATCCAGCTCCCTGCTAGCACACCTGGGAAAACACCAAATGATGACCCAAGTACTTGGGCCCCTGCCACCCACATGGGAGACCCAGATGGAATTCCAGTCTGTTGGCTTCAGCCTGGCCCAACCTTGACCATTTGGGGAGTGAACCAACGGATAGAAGATATCTCTCTCTGTGTCCCTCCATCCCCTGCCCCTCTGTCATTCTGTTTTTCAAATAAACAAATCTTTTTTATAAAACGCAGTCTGGGGGCCGGTGCTGTGGCCTAGAAGGCAACGCTGCCACCTGTAGTGCCAGCATCCCATTTGGGTGTCGGTTCGAGTCCTGGCTGCTCCACTTCTGATCCAGCTCTTTGCCGTGGTCTGGGAAAGCAGCAGAAGATGGCCCAAGGTCTTGGAACCCTGCATCCATGTGGGAGACCTGGAAGAAGCTCCTGACTCCTGGGCTTCGGACTGGCACAGCTCTGGCTGTTGAGGCCATTTAGGGAGTGAACCAGTGGATGGAAGATCTCTCTCTCTTTTTCTCTCTCTTTCTCTCTGCCTCTGCCTTTGCCTCTCTGTAACTCTGTCTTTCAAGTAAATAAATTAATATTTTAAAAAAATGCAATCTGAATCTTCCACAAATGAGGCAATCTGATTTAGTTTTTGAACCTCCTTTTTTTGTTTGTTTGTTTTGGTACTTAGAGATTCCCTGCCTCTCATACAAATTTAATCATGTATTCAAAGAATATTTGTTTATTTAATCCATCAATTTTAAGTGTTTTGTAATGAGAAAATCTTTGATTTTTTTTCAAAATGGTGTTTGGTCTGAATGCACTAAATGAAATTTCTAATTTAGTACTAGAATATCCTAAGGAAAAATAGAAAGTTTTTTTTTTAAGATGTATTTATTTAAAAGTCAGAGTTAGAGAGACAAAGAGATATTTTCCATCCACTGGTTCACTCCCCAAGTGGCTGCAATGCCCAGGGCTGAGCTAGGCAGAAGCCAGGAGTCAGAACTCCCACTTGGGTGCAGGGGCCCAAGCACTTGGGGCATCTTCCACTGCTTTCCCAGGCCATTATAGAGAGCCAGATTGGAAGAGGAGCAGCCAGGACAGGAACCGGTGCCCATATGGGATGCTGGTGTTTCTTCTGGCAGTTTTCCCCACTATACCACAACAGCAGCTCCCCAAAGAGGAAGATTTTAAGATAAGAAATCAATGTATCCCTTCAAAGATCGAGCTAAATATCTTTGATTTTTGGGGATAATAAATACATGAAATTAGGGATTCATAAAGACTTTTGTACCAGAAGTCAAATGAAGGCAGGTTTTATTTTTTTTTAAAGATTTATTTATTTACTTGAAAGAGTTACACACAGAAAGAAGGAGAGGCAGAGAGAGAGAGAGAATCTTCCATCTGCTGGTTCACTCCCTTCTGGCTGCAACGGCTGGAGCTGTGCTGATTCGAAGCCAGGAGCCAGGAGCGTCTTCCAGGTCTCCCATGCAGGTGCAGGGGCCCAAGGACTTGGGCCATCCTCTACTGCTTTCCCAGGCCATAGCAGAGAGATGGATTGGAAGTGGAGCAGCTGGGACTCAAACCAATGCCCATATGGGATGCCAGCACTGCAGACGGCTGCTTTACCCATTATGCCACGGTGCCGGCCCCGAAGGCAGGTTTTATTAACAGGTTTGTGGCTTTTTTTTTTTTTTTCTCCCTAAGGAAATTCAGTTCCTCCTCTGACGGACAACCTGTGAGAGCTTCTCCAGAATCCCAGCTCACTCAGATAATGGAGCAGCATCAGCAAGCCCTGGTGCAGCTGACGGAGGTGCAGCCCCGCAGCGGTGCCTTCCCCGGCACCACACTGCCCCCGATCTTGTCACGGGTGGAGAGTGAATCCCAGCTCAGTTCAGAGAGAAGCCAGAGACAGCAAATGAAAATCAACCGTAGCAATTCTGAAGGCTACCTGTTCCAGCTGGAGAAAGGGAAAAGGCACAGGAAGAGAAGCAGCCTTAAGGTGAGGCAAGCACCCATTTCCATTCCGAAGAGATGGGCCTTGACTTTCATGCCCTCCAGGTGCAGCCCTCTGGCAGGTATGGTCATGAGGCAGCTGCCGCCAGGACTGGATGGCCCAGGCCCTAAGGGGCCCCTGCTGCTCCCTGCAGTTCTCTCCCCTACCCCTCCAGAATGCCCACCTCCCCCTGCTTTCCAATCTTCTCTGGAAAGTGTCCATGCCCCTCCTGGCCCCTCCAGCTGCACTGAGTCTCCCCATGGACGCCCCTGTAACAGTAAAGAGCCGGTCGGGGCGAGTGAGCCAGGGAGCCTTATTGCCTCTGGATTTTCCCCACCACCCAGCCTGGGCTCCTCACCTCTTGAGAGCCCCCCAGCCTCCGCGGTGCGGTCCCAGCCAGTGACGGAGCCCACCTGCGGAAGCTGGCCAACCTTCACTGAGCTCTCTGTCTGCAGCAAGATTCACCAGCACCTGGGAGCACGTCAGTCCTTCCCCACAGGGACTGGCTTAGTAAGTGAAATCGGGGGCCCACAGTAGAATACTTTCAGGAACAGATGAGGGCGCACAGGAAGGAGGCGTTTTATGTCCCGTGCATTTCTTCATGAGACATAAAACCCGGCAGGAAAGGCCACTTCCCTCTAGTGTCAGACAATAAGGAAAACGCACCGTTTCACAGGGCCGCAGGGAGGGCCTGGTTGGAGACACCAGGCCTGTGGCGAGGCGGGTTCCCTGGGAACAGCCTCTGAGCTGCAGGTTTGAGTGCAGGAAGCACCCTTGAGACGCTCCCTTGGGAAATGCCCTGTTAGTGGGGAGTGGGGAGGCACAGCAGGACAGAGGGACAGCAGGAACTGTGATACAGATGGGACAGAATCCTCAACCAAGGCCTTGAGAGCTCTGAGGCCAGTACCCCTTCCAAGACAAGGGACCCGGATTTCAGATGCCCCACGTCAGCCAGTCACTGGGATAGTGCTGTCCCTGGGGAGTGGCTGTGACTTTGGGTATAGCAGCTGCATCTGGCAGAGGGAGGTTCTAGGGAGGATTCAACCAGGAGCCATCAGCAGCTGGGGAAATGAATGCCTCCGTCCAGAGAAACATCCGGAAAGTCAGCATGGGAGGAGGTAAGCAGGTGGTCCTTTATTCAAAGTATGATGGTTGGATTCCTACTAGGAACCTGCTAGGTGTGGGACGGAAAGATGAATGAGCCAGGACCCCTCTCCGGAAGAACCTTAGGGCTGCAGGGCTTTAGGGAGGACAGACGTGGAAATGGCTTCAGTACGATGTTGGGAGCAAAGCAACCATCCTCGTGTATGTGCGGGAGCGCAGAGGACACGCTTCCCAACCTGAGAGCCAAGCAGAGCGGCGGGAGACAACAGGGGCTGCGTCTTAGAGAGCTGGCAAAGGAAGGAACGTTGCAAGAGTGCTTCAGGCAGGGGGCCGGCAGGCGCAGAGGTGCCGAAGTCATGGCAGCGTGATGCACGCCAGGGCCGGGCGAACACTCCTGTCACTGCCGCTGTAACCAGGGGGCACCGGCGTGGGGAGCAGCGGGTGAAGATTAGTGGGGGCCGAGTTTTAGAAGATCTTTTCATTCAGAGACGAAGGACTTTTAATTCTATAGGCCGGAGGACGACCACTGTGGCTTGGGCCCCAAAGTTCACGTGTTGAAATGTAATCTTCAGGTTCACGTTTGGATGGTATTTGGAGGCGGGGCCTTTGGGAAGTCATCAGGGTCCCATGAGTTCATGAGGATGGAGCTCCTGCGATGGGGGTCAGTGGATTATAAAGAAAAGAGACCTCAGCACCCCCACTTGCTCTTTCACCATGTGATGACACAGCAGGAAGGCCCTCACCTGGGGCTGGGGCCCTGCTGTTGGACTCCGTGGCCAACAGAACTGGGAGCTACATAAACCTCTATTCTTTATAAGGTGTCCAGACTCGGTGTTTTTTTGTTTGTTTGTTTGTTTGTTTTTTTACAGGCAGAGTGGACAGTGAGAGAGAGAGAGACAGAGAGAAAGGTCTTCCTTTGCCATTGGTTCACCCTCCAATGGCCGCCACGGCCGGCACACTGCGCTGATCCGATGGCAGGAGCCAGGTGCTTCTCCTGGTCTCCCATGGGGTGCAGGGCCCAAGGACTTGGGCCATCCTCCACTGCACTCCCGGGCCACAGCAGAGAGCTGGACTGGAAGAGGGGCAACCGGGACAGAATCCGGCACCCTGACGGGGACTAGAACCCGGTGTGCCGTCGCCGCTAGGCAGAGGATTAGCCTATTCAGCCGCGGCGCCAGCCTCAGACTCGGGTGTTTTGTGTAGAAATGCAGAATGGACTAAAAGAGGGGTCACTGAAGAATTTTAAGCACAGTCACGTCTGTGTTTTAGACCTCTCTGGCTGCAGTGGGCAGAGCAGGTGCAGGACATTCCAGGAAGTTAGAGTTGCTAATAATTCAGTGGACCCTCCGGTGGGGCCCTCAGAGAAAAGGAAATGGGCGGCATTGAGGAGAACGGGGAAGCTGGGCTAGAGCAGCCAACGGTCATCTCACAGAGGAGGGAAGTCGGCTTGGGGCGGGGGTGACCCAAGCCCCCTCCTGCAGCTCCCATCTCAGGGCCCCTTGTGTGCCCCAGGTCTTCAGCAGGCTCACAGCCCTGCGTCCTCACTCCGGCCCTCTCATGGACCAACCTGAGGGCTCTTTGAACTCCTTGTCCTAGCCCCCTCCCTCCTATCTTCCATCCTGCTGGGGTGCGGGTAGGGGTTCCTGATCCCTGTACAGGCCCTGGAGACCACCGACTTGTGGCTGGGAAAAACCCCAGTTCCACTGGAAATAAGGAAAAACCATGTTTTGGATTCACAGGTAACTAGTTTTCCCACTGGAGCAGCATGGGAGTAGTCCCAGTCAGCAGCATGTGGTGGAGCTTATTAACTCAGCCATTCCTAAGCTTGGAGCTCTGGCACCTAAAATCCGTGAACTTGGGGAAGCGCCTCATTCACCCCTTTTTTCTTCTGTGCACCATCGGAAGGGTTCTTTCTGCTGGAGATCTGGTGTGGTGTTCAATGAAATCACGTATCGCCTCAGCTTATTCCCTAGCAAAGATCCTACAGCTACAAATGTTCACTTCCTTTTCCTCCCTCGGGTCTCTTTGTAATTTGCATTCACTTTTACTGGGGGAGGGGGGATAGAGGAAGACCTCCCGGTGACTGTACATCAGAAATCTAAGGGCCTAAGAGGGCAGGGGGGTTTCCAGTTAATGCCTCCCAAGCCCTGCTTCCCACTGGGACAAGCCCTCACTTCCTGCTTTGTCTCACACAGCCATTTCTCAGTCCCACCCCTTCACCTGCGGCTGGCAAATCCACAGAAGCACTCTTTGTCCTTCGAGTTATTGCAGAGGCCGAAACGACTCAGAACTGAGCTATTTGTGCAGGGCAGCGGGTAGCCGGGGCGCCAGACAGAGGAAAGCATTATCCAGGTCATGCCCGTGGTTTCCAAGGGAAGCGCCCGCCCCGGATCACGTTAAACACGTGAGGATTTGGTAAAGATCATAGGCCCCAGAACCCTCCCTCCTCTCCTGGCAGTTGTGTCGTGATGGATCTGTGAACACCAGGCATCGTCCGTGCCGTGAGGTCCAGACGTCACACAGTAAGAGATTAACACAGTGCGTGCGACGCCAAACAATGTAAGTGTGCACTTGTGGCGTCACACCCTGCAGAACGCCTGCCTTGGGAGCCCCCATGGCTGGCTGTGCTGAGCCGAAGGAATTAGCTCACGGGCCTTGTCCCAGGCACTCTGGGTGCTGCTACTTGACTGCATCTAATAAGAGGTTTACTTGGATTAAGTTTAGCAACCACAGAGCAAATTTCCTTCACTTGCTGCTCCCCGGTATTTGAGGCACTGTTTTGGTTTTTCTCGTTTCGGTTTTATTTGTGTCCCTTTTCCCAGTGACTTTCTCACAGCTTACACAGCCGAGGCATTTTCTGGAGAATAGCTCTGCAGTGTCCACCCCACAGGGCACAACATGTCAGAGCTGAAATGAGCCCTCCACAGGACAGCCCACGTCAGATTCAGTTCAGGCACCCTCTGTTGTAAGTCGACAATCAAAGTCACCCTTGTGACTTGAGAAGAATTGTGGTTCTGTACTGCTAGAAGCCTCCCATCAGGAAAGTCCTGTGCCGTTGTCTGCCAAGGCGGTCAGCCATGAACACCAGGCCCCGCGGGCGGCTCTGCACTCAACAGTCTCACACAGTGCCAGCTCAGTGGGTCTTGTGTGAAAACCGATCTCGAATCCCATCGGGGATTTGTCGAGAGAGTGCCGTATTTTCCAGCCTCTTCCCTCTGTGTTTGGAGCCTCAACGGGACTATGACTGTGGATTTAATGCGGCTTTGTCTTTTTGGAAGCATACTCCTGTGACCTGTAGTCTTGTGAAAGTCAAGGAGAAGTAAAGCAAATCAAATTGTGGGGATTATTTCATTATATAAAAGACTTTTGTGGAGACAGAAAGTGGATTAGTGTTGTCTAGGGCTGGAGGCGGAGGGGGCTTAGGGAATGACCCCTAATGGGGACAGCGTCTCTTTTTAGGGAGACGAAAATGTTCTGAATTGGATTGTGGTAACGTTTAGACAGCTCAGTGAATACACTAACGACCACTGAATCGTCCATCCTCAAACACATGAGTTCTGCAGTGTGTGAATCATATCTCAATAAAGCTGTTAACAGACTTTTGATGCAGCAAGATCAAACAAAACTGCAGCGCTGCGAACCAATCAAGATTACTTGCGCCAAAGTTAAGTAAATCCAGGATTTTCACTGCCAGTCACCCAGAACAAACTCCGTTAGGAGCCCTCCCTGTCCCCGGAGCAATGTGCCTTTGCTCTAAGCACTTCATCTTGTAAAGGGATCAGCTTCACTGGGAGGTGGCCCCTTTGGGCCACCTCTCTCCCTTCACATCCACAGGTAATGCCAGACGCTTGGCCCTGCTTTTCTGACAGCCAAGGCTCTGTGTCTGGAGAGCAGTGAGCAATTACTCATGCCTCACAATGAGGCTTTTGTGAGTCAGTGGAATGATTAAAAGTTAAGCTGCTTCGGACTAAGGATGTAATTTCTGGGCACTGATCATTTCTTTCTCATCATCTTTGGACAAATTGGATTTATGACTTGGCTACGAGCAGGGGTTTCTTCCCTTTTCATTATTGGTTTACTTTGGCAAGTGGATGATAATTTAGTGACTGCAAAACAACGGTATAGCCGCATATGTGAGAAAAACAAATCTGTGATCTCTGTGAGTTATTTGAGTTCACTCACCTATTAAAAATTAGTAAGGGTTTTGAAACGTGATGATACCTAGTATGAGAAAGGTTTGGAGAGAAAGGAATCTTCCTGCTTCTTACTACTCCGTTGCTAATGAATAGTGTTCATTGATGGCCTTAAACATACTCATTTGTCCAACTCTATTAATTCATCTCAAAGAAATAATCCAAGTAGGCCACAAAGAAGGCCCATCCCTGGGCATCTTACATGTACAACATTTAGAGGAATAAACAGTTCAAGCCTAACTAGACAATAAAATGTTACTCTTTTGAAAAACATTTAGTGATAAGAAAATACTGTAATGCTACAGTGCTTAGAGAATAAAATGATTTATAGTGTACAGATAATTTTATAAAAGGATGAAGATAGATAAAATGGACAGGAAACAACTACAGTTGTTTGCTAGGTGATACCTTCTGTTTTTTAAAGGAAAGTTATTTTTATTTTTTAATTTTTGTTTATCTGAGGGACAAAGAGATAGATTATAGACACATACATACGTACATACCTGCCTTCGTACATACTTACACAGGGCTTGTAGCCACTGATTCACTATCCATATGCCCTCAACAGCCTGAAGTCAGGAGCCAGGAACTCAATCCAGGTATCCCATGTGGGTAACAAGAACTCAATTAATTGAGCCATCACCCCTGGGTCTTCATAAGCAGGAAGTTGGAGTCAGCAGCCAGAGGTGGGTATTGAACCCAGACACTCTGAAATGGGATGCACATGTCCTAATTAGCATTTTATCCACTAAGCCACAAACCCACCTCCAAGATTTATGTTTTTAAGTGACCTTCAATAGGCAACATGAGGGTACTTAAAAATGTTCTTGGAAAGTGGAATTAAATGACAGTTTATTTTGGCTCAAAAAAAAATTTAAATCCACAGTGTTTTTATAACAGTCATTTTCCATTAAGTTTTTGAAGACACACATACATACATACACCCCATATTTCTTCTATCTACTTTGTTAAGTTTCATAATTTTATTCTAGAGGCTTCCTTAAGAAAGAATCTGGGGTCAGGCATTTGGCAGAGTGGTCTGGTTTCAGACATCCCACACGTGAGTGCCTGCAATTAAGTCCCGCCTCCATTTCTGATCCAACTTCCTGCCCCTGGACACCCTGGCATGGGTGTGCAGTGATGATGAACCAAGTACTTGGGTCCCTGCCACCCGTGTGGGAGACCTCCATGGAGTTCTTAGCTCCTGGCTACGGCCTGGCCCAGACCTGGCTGTTACACCCACTGGGGAGCGAATCCGCAACTGGAAGATCTGTCTCTCCCTCTCTGTCACTCTGCCTTTCAAATAAATACTCTTAAAAGAATAATAAAGCACATAGGAGGATTCCCTAGGTTATATAAGGCACTTGAGCAGCCACAGATTGTGGTGTCCCAGGGATGTTTTGAAACCAATCCCCAGTGGGTTCCAGGGGATAACTGTATCAGCTTGTGAGCCTGTACAGTGTGAGGTGGTGATGAGAAGCTAATTGGAGTGACCTTTGGAGAGTCAGTAGACCACCGTGAGCAGGACACATTCTTGTAATGGTTGTCATTGTGTTCATATTAGTTCAATCTTAAGATTGGGGAGTTTTTTGGCCGGCGCCACGGCTCACTAGGCTAATCCTCCGCATTGCGGCGCCGGCACACCGGGTTCTAGTCCCCGTCAGGGTGCCGGATTCTGTCCCGGTTGCCCCTCTTCCAGTCCAGCTCTCTGCTGTGGCCCGGGAGTGCAGTGGAGGATGGCCCAAGTACTTGGGCCCTGCACCCCCATGGGATACCAGAAGTACCTGGCTCCTGCCATCGGATCAGCGCGGTGCACCGGCCGCAGCGCGCTGGCCACGGCGGCCATTGGAGGGTGAACCAACAGCAAAGGAAGACCTTTCTCTCTGTCTCTCTCTCACTGTCCACTCTGCCTGTCAAAAAAAAAAAAAAAAAAAAACAAGATTGGGGAGTTTTTTGCAATTATAGCTAATATGACGAAATAATCTCTTTCATCCCAACTATCTCTACCAAATTCTATTTTAGAAAAAGATTCACTAGATATACATCTTACGATGTATATCGATTAACAAAAGCTTTCAAAATTTATAAAAAATGCTATGCCTTGTCATTAACATATAGAAAGGGAGCATTACCAACAGTGAATACAAAAGCACTGCCCTCTCAATAGGGCTATCTCTTTCTCTACCATCAGCACAAACTTAGATGTAATCTAAAATAATATCATCATCCAAACCATCTCTGCTACCCCTTACCAAAAGATAAACTAATTAACAAAGAGGAAAGGATTTGGTGTCCCCACTAGGGGAAGTAGCAAGTCTGAACCTCACCCTTTTTTGAGATTTATTTGTTTACCTCTTTGAAAGAGTGACAAAGCTCTTCCATCTGCTGGTTCACTCCTCAAATGGTCATAATAGGGGCCAGTGCTGTGGCACAGAGGGTTAATGTCTTGGCCTGAAGCGCCGGCATACCATATGGGTGCCAGTTCGAGACCTGGCTGCTCCACTTCCAATCCAACTCTCTGCTATGGCCTGGGAAAGCAGTAGAAGATGGTCCAAGTCCTTGGGCCCCTGCACCCACATGGGAGACCTGGAAGAAGCTCCTGGCTCCTGGCTTCAGATCGGTGCAGCTCTGGCCATTGCTGCCAATTGGGGAGTGAACCAGCAGATAGATCTCTCTCTGCCTTTTCTCTCTCTGTGTAACTCTGACTTTCAAATAAATAAATAAATCTTTAAAAAAAAATGGCTGTAATAGTTGGGTCTGGGCCAGGTCAAAACCAGGATCTAGGAACACCACACTGGTCTCCCACATGGGGTGGCAGGGACTTAAGCACTTGAGTCTCCATCATCTGCTGCTTCCTGGGCTCATTAGCAGGGAGCTGGATTGGAAGTAGAGCAACCCTGATTCCAACCAGCACTCCAGTGTGGGATGTGGGAGTCCTAAGTGTGTACTTAACCTGCTGCACCACAGCACTCGCCACTGAACCTCACATTTAATGTCAAAAGCTGTGGTGTGTGGAATATTTATTCTATCCTGTGGTCAGATCATTAGAATCTTTCCTGCCTACTATTGTGCTCAAGTGTCAAAAACCAATAATTAAATAGCCTTGCTCTATTCTGTCCTTTTAAGTGTGTAATACTAGTAAGAATTATCACATAAAATTATGTGTATCTTTCAAAATATCCAAAATCAGACTGGAGGGACAAAATAAGACAGTGTCATGAGTGTATTATAGTTGTTTGTTACTAAAACTTAGCTCTTT